ACTGATGGGCACTTGGGCTGCTTCCAAATCTTGCTGGGTCATAATGCGGCTCCCTTTTTATTAAAAAAAAATTTTTTTCTTTATTGATTTTAGAGAGAGAGGAAGGGAGAAAGAGAGAGATAGAAACATCAAAGAGAGAAAACATGGATTGGCCGCCTCCTGCACTCCCCCCACTGGGGATTGGGCCTACAACCCAGGCATGTGCCCTGACCAGGAATCAAACTGGTGACCTCTCGGTACATGGGTCAACTCTCAACCACTGAGCCACATCAGCCAGGCAGGCAGCTGTCTTAAATTTTTTGAGGCAACTCCATACTGCTTTCCATAGTGGCTGCATAGATCTGCATTCTCACCAACAGTGCATGAGGGTTCCCTTTTCTCCACCTCCTCACCATCACTTGTTTGTTGATTTATTGATGATAACCATTCTGACAGGTGTGAGGTGATATTTAACTGTGGTTTTAATTTGCATTTCTCTGATGATTAGCGATGTTAAGCATCTTTTCATGGTTGTTTCCATCTGTACATCCTCTTTGGAGAAGTGTCTATTCAGGTCCTTTGCCCATTTTTTTAAATTGTATTTTTCTTTTTCGTTTTTTGGCGTTGAGTTTTATAAATTCTTTGTAAATTTGGGATATTAACCCTTCATCAGATGTATCATTGTTGAATATGTTCTCCCACTCAGTGAGTTGTCTTTTTATTTTGTTGATGGTTTCCTTTGCTGTGCAAAAACTTTTTAGTTTGATGTAGTTCCAGTTGTGTATTTTTTCTTTTGTTTCTTTTGCTCAAGGAGATATATCAGGAAAATATTGCTATTAGCAATGTCCCAAATTTTACTGCTCATTTTCTTCTAGGATTTTTATGGTTTTGACCCTAGCATTTAAGTCTTTAATCCATTTTGAGTTTATTCTTGTGTATGGTTTAAGAAGATAGTCTCGTTTCATTGTTTGCACGTATCTGTCCAATTTTCCCAACACTATTTATAGAATAGACTATCTTTACCACAGTGTAAGTTTTTACATCCTTGGTTAAATATTTAACTATAAAGGTGTGGGTTTATTTCTAGGTTCTCTGTTCTGTCCTATTGATCTATATGTGTGTTTTTATGTCAATACCATGCTGCTTTGATTACTGTGGCCTTGTAGTATAGTTTGATATCAGATAGCATGATTCTTCCAACTTGGTTCTTCTTTCTCAAGATGGCTGTTGCTATTCAGGGTCTTTTGTAGTTCCATATGCATTTTTGGAATATAGATTGCTTTGGGTAGAATGGACATTGTTATGATGTTAATTCTTCCTGTCCATGAACACAGTATATACTTCCATTTAATTTGTATCTTCTTCAGTTTCTTGCTTCAGTGTGTCATAATTTTCAAGTACAGGTCTTTTACATCCTTGGTTAAAATTATTTCTAGGTATTTTATTCTTTTTGAAGCAATTGTGAATGGGATTGTTTTCTTAGTTTCCATTTCTGATAGTTCATTATTGTTGTATAAAAATGCAACTGGCCCTGGCCGGTTTGGCTCAGCGGTTAGAGCGTCCGCCTGCGGTCCAGAGAGACCCGGGTTCGGTTCCCGCTAAGGGCACGTACTTCGGCTGCAGTTTGTCCCTGGCACTGGTTGGTCGTGCGGGTGGCAGCCACTCGATGTGTCCCTTTCACGTCATTGTTTCTCTCTCTTTCTTCCTCTCTCTCCCTCCCACTCTATCTGTACAGAAAATGGAAAAATGTCCTCGGGTGAGGATAAAAAAATAAATAAATAAATAAATAAATAAATAAATAAATAAATAAATAAAATATTAAAAAAAAAAAAATGCAACTGGCTCTGGCTGGTGTGGCTCAGTTTGTTGAATGTCCTCCCATGCACTGAAAGGTTGCCAGTTTGATTCCTTGTTAGGGCACATACTCAGGTTTTGGGTTTGATCCCTGGTCAGGTGCCTATGGGAGGCAACTGATTGATGTTTCTCTCTAACATCAATGTTTTTTTTCTCCCCCTCTCCCCCTTTCGCTCTCTCTTAAAAAAAAGACAAATGAAAAAAAATGCAACTGATTTCTGGATATTTATTTTGTATCCTGCTACTTTATAGAATTCATTTATTAGTTCTAATTGTTTTCTGGTGGAGTTTTTAGAATTCTCTATATACAGTATTATGTCATCTGCAAATAATGACAGTTCTATTTTTTTCTTTCCAATTTGAATACCTTTTATTTCTTCTTCTTGTCTGATCACTGTAGCTAAAACTTTCAGTACTATATTGACTAAGAGTCGTGAAAGCAGACATCCCTGTCTTGTTCCTGATCTTAAGGCAAACACTTGTAGTTTTTGTCCATTGAGTATGATGTTGGCTGTGGATTTGTCATATTTGGCCTTTATTATGTTGAGGTATGTTCCCTCTATTCCCACTTTACTGAAGTTCTTATGAGAAATGGGTGATGGTTTTTCATATGCTCTTAAAAAGCAACTTGTTTTGTTACTTTAAAAAATTATTTCTTAGAAGTGGTTGTAGTTTGGCTTCTCTCTTGCTTGGTTTGAGAGAAAATGTTTTTGATAGTGATAATAAGGGGACAGGACAGGAAGACTCCTTCTGCTTCCAGTATTTAAAAGTCCATATGATTGAGTAGGAGTTAGTATTAGTACATGAAGTAATCAAATAGAATGCTCTTTTATCCATTCATTTTTTTATATTTACTCACAACATCTTGGTTACAGATTATATCTGGAATTTGTATAGTGCCTTCATTGTGTTCACGACAGTAGAGAATGAGGAAGATAGTATTAATGCCTGGAAATAAGAACACCTCTTCTGTTAGGTTGTTAGTGTGGTGACTTGAATCAGTCTAGTCAGGAGTTGAGCTAGGTTCTGATTTTATTGTTGCTTTGGTTTTCTTTAGTTTATGTCTTGCTTCAAATTTCTCTAATGTTACCTTTTGCGTAGCGTTGGGGCTTGGTTTCTGCAGGTTTTCTTAACATTCCTCCTCTACCCTCAGCTTTTGGTATGCTGTGCTCCTGTGTCTCAGAGGGTTGTGCCCCCGTCAGCAGTAGGTGCTGGTGCTTTCTAGACTGGTAGTGCGTGTGGTAGGTGGGAGTTTTCTGTCGTCCACATCTAGCCTCAGTCTGACACAGGCACTTTGCTCCTGGGTCTTGGAGGTGGAGCTTTCTCACTCATTCTGCTCTCCCCTGGTTGTCGGAGACCTCTGTTGTTCTGGGTCTTGGATCGTTTCTTTTCTCTCCTCTAGGGTTAGTGGTGTTTTCTCTTCTTTTTCTCTAGCCATAGTGGGTCTTCCTTTGTGCCCTAGGAATGATAGTGTTTACTGCTCTTTTTTTCATTTTCTTAAGACTTTTGTTCCACTGGGGAGAAGGGTCTGGATGGGGCTTTGTGCCCCGCTTTCCCACAGCCATCTCCTTTTCGAGGCTGTCACCACCTGTTCTCATTCTTTCTCATGAGCACCTGACGGAGGTCTGTGAAGAAAACCATGTGTGTGGGTGCTAAGTTCCTTTGCGTTTGTGGCTTCGAAGCATTCTGTACTTACACCTTAGCCTTTTACAATTTGTAAGAAATTTTAGCTGAATTCTTACCTACTTGTATGATGCTTGTTATTTCTTTTTTTATGATCTGCCACAGGTGAGGCAGTGCTCACATTCTCTCTCTCTGGAGGTGCCCATCTCATACAGATTTTAAGCTACTTGGATACTCTGTAATCTCAGTTCTCTGATGGATTCAAGAATAGTTATGATTTTGTAGATTGTCTTTTTCTTATGAGGGTGTAGACAACACTCTCTCCAGCTTTCTTTCTTTTTAAATATGTTTTTATTGATTTTTTTTTTTTAGAAAGAGAGAGAGAAACATCGATTGGCTGCTTCCTGCATGCTCCCTACTGGAGATTGAGCCCAAAACCCGGGCATGTGCCCTGACCAGGAATCAAACCAGGACCTCTCAGTCCATGGGTCAATGCTCAGTCCATGAGCCACACCAGCTGGGCTGTCCAGCTTTCTTGATCTTAGCCTAGTCTCCACCATGTGCTTTCTGGTATATTTTTCAAATCTGTGCCTAATCAATGTCTCTCTCCCTGTTGCCCCTTAGGTATTGTAAACAGCGTTGATAGAATTTTGTCATGATCTGTTCAAAGATAAATTTTACCATTAATAAAGTATTATTTTATAAAGATAGCTTACAGACTATTCTATGCCCAAGAAGCAATATAGATTCTAATTTATAAATTTACTTACTATGTTGCTACTAATAAACAGGAATAATAATAATAATCATATGATAAATAGCAATAGCTCAAATTCATTATGTTTACTATGTGGCAGGCATTATACTAAGTGCATGTAGCATTATCTCTAATGTGTTTACCTCCCCCTCTCCTAGAAGACAGCTTGTTGTTGGTAATTGGGGTGGTTGCACAGAGTGTAGGCAGGTGCAGCTTATGTCGGCACAGCTTCCTCTGTCCTCCACAACCCTTGCTGGTGACACTTTATTATATTTATTATTTTTTTAAATCCTCACCTGAGGATATTTTTCCATTTATCTTCAGATAGAGTGGGAGGGATGGAGGGAGGAAGAGAGAGAGAGAAACATTGATGTGAGAGACACATTGATTGGTGCCTCCCGTACCTGGGGACGAACTACAACCGAGGTATGTGCCCTTGGTCAGAATTAAACCCAGGACTCTCTGGTCCACAGGCCGACCCTCTAACCGCTGAGCCATTTATAAACTATGTGACAATGGGCAGATTAGAAATAAATCTGTGTTAGAAAGGTAACTCAAAAATCACACTTTACTAGTGGTAGGATATCAGTGTCATGCTTATATTTTGAGACTAACAATATAGAGAAAGCATAGTTATAAGTGTTAGCATTTCATGGCATTTATTAACCTCAAATGATTTAATGAAAACATCCATTTCTTTTTCAAAACAACTGAGATGTAATACCAAGCTTGAGGTAAGAGAATTTTCAAATTATTTCAATTATCTTTGTGGCTTTTCTTTTTCAAGCTCCCAATAGAAGACTTGTGCAGTTTAACATCCCAGTCACTGCCCATTGCACAGACTTCAATAGTACCTGAATCTACAGAAGACATTCTCTTGAATGGTTTTATTTCATTAGAAATGAAAGAAGCAAAGATCGAAACTGCACAGCAGGTGAGAGACAATATTGTTTCTAAGGATGTTTGATTATTTAGTTACTTTTTAGTCCTCACTCCGGGGTATTTTTCCATTTATTTTTAGACAGAGTGGGAGGGAGAGAGAGAGAAACATCAATGCGAAAGACACCTCGATTGGTTGCCTCCCGCACGACCTCGACCAGGGTTGGGGACCAAACCGCAACCGAAGTACGTGCCCTTGCCTAGAATTGAACCTGCAACTCTGGTTCACGGGCTGATGGCTCCAACCTCTGAGCCAAACTGTCCAGGGCAGGATGTTTGATTATTTTAAATGTCTTGAGACAGGGCTAATAAAAAAGGTTCTAATGAAAAGTTCTGAACATTTAAAACTATACAAGGTGGGACAACAGTAGCTTTAGAGTTGTTTGTATGGAAAATAATACAATAATTAATAATAATACAAGAATAAACTTTTGTGTACTAAACTGTAAACCTACTTTTGTCCCACCCTGTAGTTAACATCAAATCTTTTTAGAACATTCTTGATTTTGTGTCAGTTGTGGCTATTAAGTATTTTTTTTTTTTTTTTTAAATCCTCACCAGAGGATATTTTTCCATTTTTTGTACAGATAGAGTGGGAGGGAGAGAGAGGAAAGGAGAGAGAGAGAGAAACATCGACGTGAAGGGACACATCGAGTGGCTGCCACCCGCACGACCAACCAGGGCCGGGGACAAACTGCAACCGAAGTACGTGCCCTTAGCGGGCACCGAACCGGGGTCTCTCCGGACCACAGGCCGACGCTCTAACTGCTGAGCCAAACTGGCCAGGGCGGCTGTTAAGTATTTTTAATGAACCTTTTGCCCAGTTGTATTTGCAATACAGATAAAAAGACGATATTTCAAGTTTGGATGTTGATAGATTATTATATTTATTTATTTTATTAATTAATTTATATTTGTTATAGATGTTTCTCCTTTTTTACCCCCAGACACCCTCCTCCCTATCCTGCCCCCACCCCAGCCCCCCAGCCATGCATTGTTGTCTGTGTCCATTGCTTATGCATATATGCATATAAGTTCTTTGGTTTATCTCATCCCCCACCACTGAAGTTAGTCAGTCTGAACTGTTCTCCTTTCTATGTCTCTGGGTCTATTTTGTTCATCAGCTTATTTTGTCCATTATATTCCACAAATAAGTGAGATCTTGTGGTATTTGTCTTTCTCTGATTGGCTTATTTCCTATATTTATTAGGGTTTTAATATTTTACTACTTTTGGCTTCTCCCAGAGTATGTGTATATTATGTTTCCCCAGCATGCCATGTCTTCCTATTGCTAGGTAATTTCTTTTTCAAAAACCTAAATGTTTTCTTCAGATGAACACTTACAGCTTTTTTTAGTAATGTAACCCAAAAAATTCCCTCATGCTTATTTAAGATCAGCCTCCTCTGTCTCTTTTTAATAAATATTTTCATAATATAGGGCCAGAATTCAAACCTAGGTTTAGCTGATACGAGATTCCATGTTCTTAAACTAGTCTGTTATATTATTTATGAGTTTATATTCTCACAGTTCCTACTACATAATACTGATATTTACTCAAAGCCCAATGTTACCTACTCAGATTTGGCAAACTAGCAAATAGGCTTAAGCCTGTCAGGAAGAAATATATCTTATGTATTATATCTTTAATACTCTCTTTAAATTAACTCTGAAAACAACCCATTGTTTTTTCCCTTTTTATTGAATTTATTGGAATGACACTGTTTAACAAAACACTGCACACTGTACTGTGTGTTCACCACCCCAAATCAAGTCTTCATCCACCACCATTTGTTCCTGCTATATGCCCCCCACCGTGGACAGTCACCACACTGTTGTCTGTGGGCCTATTGTTTTTAATATCCTTTGCTTTTAAAAATTAATTAATTATTATTATTTTTTAATCCTCACCTGAGGACACTCTTTGCATTTATAGAGCTAGAGCGAGAGGGAGAGAGGGAGGAAGAGAGAGAGAGAGAAATATCGATGTGAGAGAGACACATCAGTTGGCTGCCACCCACACAACCCCAACCAGGGCCGGGGACAAACTGCAACCTAAGTACGTGCCCTTAGCAGAAACCGAACCCGGGTCTCTCCAGACTGTGGGCTGACGCTCTAACCACTGAGCAACCGGCCAGGGCTATCCTTTGCTTTTTCTAGCATGTGGATATTGATTATGCAGTTTAATTATCCTGGTTTAAAACTAATTATTAATGTTTGAGCCCCAAATAATAAGAATTAATGTTACCCTTTTGACTTGCTGTTTAGCATGTAGCCACATTTCATTTTGTCTGTTTTAATTTTGTTGACAATATAATATTCTTTATTTTTCCAGTTTTTCTCATGGTTTGCAAAGCTACAAACTCAGATGGATCAGGATGAAGAAACTAAATATAGGTATGTGGCTATCCTAATTTTTAGATTACACTCATCTGAAGCATTTTGTAATCTGTGTCTCTAAACAAAATTAAGGTACAAAGAAAACTGTACAGCAATATTATCTTTAAAAATAGCCAGGGAGAGGATTTGGGTCAGCTGGAATTAGAAGTTATGTAGTTTTTTAAAAGTTACAATTTAATTAATAAGTTAGGGGGGACAGACATTAGTTTTTAGATAATTCTAGAAAGGTTTGGGTTCAGGTAGAAATTTTACAAGAACTCTAAGAGGTGTTTGTTGTCTTTAGAAGGAGAAACCCAAGAGACTTTAGGGATGGCTACCTAGCTTCTAAGGTGTAACTCTGTTGTTCTGTTTGTGTATATTGATAGCATGGGAGAAATGGTATACAGTTTCTGGCTGATTTGGGGACTATGGCTTGAGCATTTGCATTCATTGAACTTTACTCATTGACTGTAATTGCTAGGCATTGTGTTAGACTCTTTGATAGATGATTCCATTTATCTTTATAGCAGCTCTGAGGAAAGTAATTTTATTCCCATTTTACAAATGAGCAAACTGAAGCCTGGAAATATAAAGTAACTTGCCTAATGTCATGGAGACTTGGGCAGAACTTGGATTTAGACTTGGGTCTTCTAATTCTGAGACCAGAACTATTCCCATGACATCACACTGTCTCTCAAAGATGGAAGTGACCTGAAGGATTGGCCTACTTAATACCTTGGGATGGCCTTGGTATCCCAGACTTTGAAAGTTGAGCTGATGATTTATTGCCTTACATTTGAAAAGCCAGTTTATGGCTTCAAGGCTGATTCCCTTGTGCCTTTTAGTTTCAGTAATTTTCCTTCTTAAGTGTTGATATAGTTTATAACATAGCTTTTGGTATATTTCTGAATATAATGAACTACAGTGAATAGGCCTTACTTTCCTCCTGAAATTCAAGCATTTGGGGAAAAGGGAGACTTGTTTATTTTCATTGCTTATTGGGGGAAAATATTATTGCCAATCCCCTTTTGGTTCTGTTTTCTAGACAGATGAGGGATTACTTGTCTGGGTTTCAGGAGCAGTGTGATGCTATATTGAATGATGTAAACAGCGCTCTTCAACATCTGGAATCATTGCAGAAACAGTATCTTTTTGTGTCCAATAAGACAGGAACCTTACATGAAGCCTGTGAACAACTCTTAAAAGAACAGGTAATTTGGAGTGGGAGAGAGGGTCAGTGATTATATTTACTGTTTATTTTAAGATAGATGAATACTGTTTAATTCTAGTTTCCTTAATTTTTCCAACTATATATTGAACACTGCTCTGTATGAGGCATGTGCTAATTAATAAGCATGCAAAATATTACATTGGCAGCCTTCTTTCATTCTAAACAAGCTTATGTGAACAGAGGCAAGAACAAGCTTTCCTATGTTTTGAGCTGTTAGGTCTCAGTACAGTTTCAGAGTGAAGAGGATATATTAGTTTGCTCTGTCTGCTCTTTATCATTGATACTTTTGAAACAAGCATAGTGATATGGTAATGGTGGGATTTAAGAAAAAATGAACTGATAGAGGTTGTGCTTAAATTGTGCCTTAAAGATAGACTCTACATTACTGTTTATCTCAGAGTTTTCTCTATGTGTGTTCTGTTTTTTAAAATACAATCATTTATTATTTTGTAAGATTATATATAATTTACTGTGATAATCATTGCTGATTTTAGTCCATGTTTGCAAAAATCTTCAGCATTATTCTGAAATCTTATGTCTAATATATATCAATTCAATGTAATTTTGACGCTGGAGTGTTGATTTTTATGTTCTCATAATAACCATTTTTTCTCTTTTAAAAATATGCAAGTCGGAACTTGTTGATCTGGCTGAAAACATTCAACAGAAGCTTTCCTATTTTAATGAATTGGAAACTATTAACACAGTAAGCATGTTTTTTACTTTTTATAAAGTTAGTGAGACTTTATTTTGTATTTCCCTTTCTGAGTATGATCTTTAAACCTGTAAATTGGCTTGAGTGGTATTTTAACTTACTAGTTTGCTTGCTGAAGGTATTCCTATTTGTGGCTGATGGATATACCATTACCAGTTCAGATTTTTTCAAATGTGATTTAAGTAATAGTTCTGTTTAAATTATATTATTGTTATTAAAAATCTTTGTTGGTTACTTCTTGTAGTATCTTATTTGTAAGCTGTGAAGATTATAAGAAGAAATATTAAATTTTAAATCTTGCTGTGGTTGAACCACTATAAAAATAATAAAAACATTTTTTAAACTAATCTCATATTTAGTGTGAGGAAAAGTATAGTCCTCATAATGCATACTTATATCCCAAAGTAATAGTCTTTTTTTTTTTTTTTATCTTTATTGTTGAATGTATTACAGATGTTCCTCATTTTCCCCCATTGAGCCCCTCCTCCCCACTCCCGCCCCTCTCCTGCCTTTCCCCACACTGTTGTCTGTGTCCACTGGTTATGCATATATGCATATAATTATTTCTTCCCACCCCGCAACCCCCCTTCCCTTTGAGGTTTGTCAGTCTAGCAACCAATTTGTACTTCTTAATCCCTTCACCTTTTTTACCCATTCCCCCATCCCCCCCCCATCCGGCAACCAACAAAATGTTCTCTATATCTATGAGAATGTTTCTGTTCTACTTGTTCATTTTGTTTGTAGATTCAATTGTTGATAGCTATGAATTCATTGCCATTTTGTTTGTTCATATTTTTTATCTTTTTCTTCAAAAAGACCCTTCAACATTTCATATAATAATGGTTTGGTGGTGATGAACTCCTTTAGCTTTTCCTTGTCTGGAAAACTCTTCATATGGCCATCAGTTCTAAATGACAACTTTGCAGGATAGAGTAATCTTGGTCGAACGTCCTTGCTTTTCATCACTTTAAATATTTCTTGCCACTCCTTTCTGGCCTGCAAAGTTTCTTTTGAGAAATCAGCTGACAATCTAATGGGAACTGTCTTATAGGTTACTAACTGCTTTTCTCTTGCTGTTTTTAAGATTTTCTCTTTGGCCCTGGCCGGTTTGGCTCAGCAGTTAGAGCGTCGGCCTGCAGTCCTGAGAGACCCGGGTTCGGTTCCCGCTAAGGGCACGTACCTCACTTGCAGTTTGTCCCCGGGTCGGTTGTGCGGGTGACAGCCACTCAATGTGTTCCTTTCACATCGATGTTTTTCTCTCTCTCTCTCTCTGTTCCTCTCTCTCCCTCCCACTCTACCTGAACAAAAAATGGAAAAATGTCCTCCGGTGAGGATTAAAAAAAAAAAAGATTTTCTCTTTGTCTTGAACCTTTTGCATTTTGATGATGATGTGTCTTGGTGTGGGTCTCTTGGAGTTCATCTTGTTTGGGACTCTCTGTGCTTCCTGGACTTGTCTGTTTCCTTCACCAAGTTAGGGAAGTTTTCTGCCATTGTTTCAAACAGGTTTTCGATTTCTTGTTCTCTCTCTTCTCCTTCTGGCACCCCAAGATGCGAATGTTGGCACGCTTGAAGTTGTCCCAGAGGCTCCTTACACTATCCTCATTGTTTTGGATTCTTTTTTCTTTTTGCTGTTCTGATTCGTGTTTTTTGCTTCCTTATATTCCAAATCAGTGGTTTGCTTCTTGGATTTACCTACTCTACTGTTGAATCTGTGTAAATTATTTATTTCAGTTCGTGCCCCCTTCATTTCTGACTGTACATCCTTCATTTCTGACTGGTCCTTTTTTATGCTCTTGAAGCCCTCACTAAGTTCGCTGAGGTTCTCACTAAGTTCATTGAGCATCCTTATAAACAGTATTTTGAACTCAGCATCTGTTAGGTTGCTTATCTTCATTTCACTTAATTCTTTTCTTGGAGTTTTGTTCTGTTCTTTCATTTGGGACTTGTTTCTTTGTCTCCTCATTTTGGCTGCCTCCTTGTGTTTGTTTCTATGTGTTACTTAACGAGCGGTATGGGGCTAACTGAGACCAGATGCTGGTTGTTTGCAAGAATTTAGGAAAACCTGAAGCAGGATCCAAGACAAGCCAATCCTATAGTTAACCAACTGACAACAGCTTGGGTGGGTCTGAAAGTTGGGTGGGGCGGGGCCTCAGGGAATCACCAGGGCAGGGCAACCAGTGTGAGCCAAGTTGCTGGAGTCTCAGATATGGTGACTATCTGCCGCCCCAGGGAAGGGCTCACCAAAGGAACAGAGGCCTCTGACAGCACGGCTATCCTGGAGAAAGCCCCCTCTCCAGCCCTAGCTCCAATGCCAAACAGCTCAGTTCTTCCCTGTATGTCTCTGGTGCCCCTCGAGCTGCCTCCTCTCCAAGCTTAGAGGGAGTGAGTCTGATAAGTCCGTGCTTGGGCCCTTTAAGAGGAGCTGCCTGGGGCTCCAGCCGCCTCAGCCTCCCTGAGCCTCAGTTCCTGCTGGTTTTTCCAGCCAGAAATTATGGGGCCTTCTCTTCCTGGCACTGGAACCCTGAGCGGGGCGCCTGGTGTGGGACGAGGACCCTTCTGTCCTTAGAGAGGTCCCACACAGCCGAGGTGTCCTCCTAATTTTTATCCCTCATACGTGGGTGTGGGACCAGCCTGTCGCACCTCCACCCTCCTACCAGTCTTGATGCAGCCTTTTCTTTAATTCCGTAGTTGTAGGACTTCCATTCAGCTTGATTTCAGGTGGTTTTGAATGATGGTTGTTCTGTAGTGTAGTTGTAACTTTGATGTGGTTGTGGGAGGATATGATACTACGTTTACCTACCCACCATCTTCAAAGTAATAGTCTTAATTCCAAACTAATAGTCTTAATAAATATTGTTGTAATACTTAAACAATAAAGATAAAAAAAGACTGCTGTGTAAATGATATTTCTAGTTCATAAATTAATTATAACTACTTGTACATTATGTTATTAAATATTAAATTAATCATAATTATAATTTACTAAAGAGATAGAAGTAAAACTAGTAAACAGTTAACAATGGAATGCAATGGAAATAGTTCAATGCCAAGCTATTTATATATTGAGATAAATAAGTGGCTGGTTTTACTTATATTTTATACATATCGTATATTTACATTATATTAAATAGTATATATTATATTGCTTTATGTTTTAATACAGGATTTTATATATCATATCAAATGTTAAGTTTTATGCTTGTATACATTACCTATATTTTTATTTATATTATTATTATTACCTATATGCTTACTTATATTTTACTTATATCACATTTTACTTTAATAGTATAATTGCTAAACATAGTATGACTGACTACTAATCCTTTAACCTTGGGAAATAGCCAGTGTTTGAAAGTAGAAAATGGATGTATGTTGTAAAGTAGTAGTAAATGGGAAGTTTAGGTACTTGATGTGTTATTTTAATATAACATTGTATAATGGAGTAATATAAAATATTTGCCAATTCATCAAGATCCCCATTAAAGCTTATTAGGAATAAACTGAAATAAATCAGTATTCTTTTTTAGTTGTCCTTTTTTGTTACACATGGGCTACATTTGAGGATATTTTGGTCACTCAAAATGTAAAGACATTAGTATAACTGTGTTATATCCTAAAGCCAAATATGCTAATTCTAATATATAATTATCAACTTTTACCTATATATTTTTTTATGAATTAAATTTTTTTTTTCTTAAAGAAATTGAATTCTCCTGCATTGTCTGTGAATAGTGAAGGATTTATACCTATGCTGGCCAAGTTAGATGATTGTATAACATATATCTCATCTCATGTAAGTCATGGTATTTCTGTATGTTTTTTTAAAGAGATCTTAACATCCCTATTAATTTGCTTCTTAGTAAAGTAATTATTTCTTCTGAAGGAAAAAATATATCTATAATGTACTTGAAAAACTGTGGTAAATTCTTAGTCATTGTTGATAGTGATGTAAAAAGTACTTTCAGCTGCTAAGGCAGAACCTGGAGTAGAATGAGGTCCTGACTGACACAGCTTTGTCCCATCTAAAAGGATGAGTGATTTTTTGGCTGTTCAATTCCTGTTGTGTTAGATATTATTCCCCAAGGATTTAAAGCTATATTTATTACCCCCAACTCATATTCTTTTTCCTAGTTGAGCCTGACATATTAGTCTTTGGAATACTGAAAATATATTTTGCTAAAAACTAAAAATTTGCTGAGTCCCTACTTTGTGCCAGGTACAAGGGATTTGGCTGTGACCAAGACAGTCACAGTATTTGTCTTCATGGAACTTGACATCTGCATAAGACCTTCTTTTGAATATTATATATAGCTTTGCAGAAAGGACATACTGGTTTTCTTTCTTTTTAAAACAATAAGTTTTTATTGATTTTTAGATAAAGAGGAAGGGAGAGAGAGAGAGATAGAAACACTGATGAGAGAGAAACATTGATTGACTGCCTCCTGCACGCCCCATACTGGGGATTAAGCCTGAAACCCGGGCATGTACCTTGACTGGGAATTGGACTGGTGACCTCTTGGTGCATGGGATGGTGCTCAACCTACTGAGCTACACTGGCTGGGCAAGGACATACTAGTTTTCATTGAAAGTTTGCTTTGTCAATGCTTGTTTCCTTTTTGTAAATCTTTTTTTTTTTTTTTTACAGCCGAATTTTAAAGATTATCCTGTATATTTACTGAAGTTTAAGCAATGTCTTTCCAAAGCTTTGCACCTCATGAAGACATACACTGTGAACACACTACAGAACCTCACAAATCAGTTATTAAGAAGGGTGAGTTAACTGGTGAGGTTTTGGGTTTGTTTTTGATTCATTTATCTTTTATAATCTTAGTCTGAGAGTAGTACTTAGTAAATCCAATTTTTTTTTTTTTTTTTTACTTTTGTTAAATAAGAATATGTGTTGCAATTTATTTATAACAGGAAAAATGGTTGTATTGTATCTGTCTGTCAGAGTTTTATTTTCAAAGAATATATAACAGTGTGAGAACTATTCAGTACTAATGATAAATAAGATTCAAACTATTTCTTACTTAAAATTTTTTTCTTATCTTTTTCATGAAAATATTGGAAGGAAATACACCAAAATATTAAAAGTGCTTCTATCTGAGTGATGGGATTGCATATGATGGATAATTAAATTTTCTGTGTTTAGCAAATATGTTTAATTGAGCACCTTCTATTTTTTGTTTTGTTTTTTTATCCTCACCTGAGGACATTTTTCTATTTTTTGTTCAGGTAGAGTGGGAGGGGGAGAGATGAAGAGAGAGAGAAACATCGATGTGAAAGGGACACATCGAGTGGCTGCCACCCGCACGACCAACCAGGGCCGGGGACAAACCGCAACCGAGGTACGTGCCCTTAGCGGGAACCGAACCCGGGTCTCTCGGGACCGCAGGCCGACGCTCTAACCGCTGAGCCAAACCGGCCAGGGCTAATTGAGCACCTTCTAAATGCTTTGCATTGTACTAGGTCTTATGTAGTAGTGAAAAGGAGCTAGTAAGGCTTCTGCCTTCATGGAGTTTATATTCAGGAGAAAAGATCAGTAAAGAGGGAAATAAACAAATTAATCAATTGCAGCTTATAGTTGATGCTAGGTGGGAAATTAGCAGAGTGTTAGGTTAGAAAATAAGAGTGGAGCTAGCTAGGACAGTCATTGAGCACATTTCTTTGCTAAGAAAACAAAACCATAAAGATTATGCATTTTACTTAAGTTTTTCTAAAGAACTTTGAATATCTTTTGAGCTTTCAGTTCAAAGCCACTGATTTTTGGGTTGCATTTTTACTATTCCCATTGCTGTTAACTGACATAACAGCCAGATTATATAATTTTTCTATTTTTGTAAAGTTATATATATGTTTTTTGCATTTGTCTTCAGATAGAGTAGGAGGGAGAGAAGGAGGAAGAGAGAGAGAGAGAAACATCGACATGAGAGAGACACATCGATTGGTTGCCACACGTACAACCCCAACTGGGACTGGGGACAAACTGCAACCAAGGTATGTGCCCTTAGTGGGAATCGAACCTGGACTCTCCAGTCCGTGGGCTGACGCTATAACCGCTGAGCCAAACCGGCCAGGGCTATTTTTGTAAATTTTTTAAGTTTAGGAAACTAATATCTAATTAGCACTACTTCCAACTGTATATAGTGCTTTACTATTGAGCTACATAACAACTTAATGAGTATAGGTTATCACTAGTAAATGGATGCTCTGAATCTTTGAGAGGTTTAGTAATTTGGCCGCTGTCCTACTTTCAGTAAATGATTGCATATGAAGCTGAATTCAAGTCTTTTTACTTCCAAAATTCATGTAACATGGGTTAAATTTTAATTATAAGAGGAGAGAGATAATGGTTCCTCATAATTATTTCTCATTTGTAGCAATAATAATATTAATCTCTCTTTGGGATATTTCTCTCTAAGCTTTTGGTTGGTATGTAGGCCAGGTGGTAGCTATTTGAAGTGATGTGCATCGCATTTCCAGAATACTTATTTGTTTGTTAATATCTTCTTTCCTATCCTCCTCCATGTTTCTTTAGGATCCTTCATCTGTACCTAATGCAGATAATGCCTTCACACTATTTTATGTGAAATTTCGAACTGCTGCCCCCAAAGTCAGAGTAAGTCTGTTGACATAAATAGGATATTGCAATGAAGTTTATTTAGCCAGCCCTTTTGAAGTACTACTGTATGTTAGGCCCTTTGCTTATACCAGGAAAATGAACATGAATGAAAGAAAGGTAGGCATTGCCCTTCCACATTACATTGCATTATCTTAGAGTGTCTTAAGACCACAGAGCAAGAAACACCTAGCTCTTCCTAAGATGCTTAGGGAGTGTTTCTAGATGAAGGAGATATTTGAGCTTAAACTACTCAGATTTATAGTGGACTTGAGGGAATTGATTACTTATAGAAAATACAAATGGTTAATAAATATGAGCTCATGTTTAGGCTTCAGTGGAGAATATATTCAATTAAAGGTTAGGTGGCATTTTTTTTATCTATTAGAAACTGGGAGATTAAGGTGTAACAGCTTTTGAGGATTTAGAGAGACAGGCAGTACTGCTGATAGGGGGATGTAAAGCAGTTTCTTTCTCAATAACATTTTAGGAGTATATATCAGAAGCCTATAAAAATATTTATCTCTTATCACCCAGTGTTAGGGGTTCCCAGCTGGCAAGTAGGTAACTATTATTTTATCAGCTTTACATATTCGAAAGTGGAATTTCAGAGAAGTGGACCAGCTCTCCTGGGCTCAAAACAACTACTGGGAGTTGGTGCTCACACCCTCCAGTTTTCCTTTAGGCTCAGCTCTTAACCACTGGGCTGTTATTCTTAAGAAACAGCCAAGATGTCTTAACAGTAGAAGAATGGTTGATTTGTGGTTCATATCCCCAAGGGGGATATCATATAGTCATTTAAACAAATGTTTTAAAGAATATTTATAATGATGATTCATTGTGTGTTTCCTAAGTGCCCAGGTATTAGGTTAAGGCTTTCTACTTACATTTTCATCTGATATTGAGAAGTATTTAATAATAGGAAAATAGTTTGAAATAATGTTACTTTTGCAAAAGCAGATTATAAAGCTGAATATGTGGTATAATTCCAGTTTTGTTTAAAAAGGAAACTATAGTATGTGTATACAAAAAATGGAAAGAATATTCTAAAATATTAACTATGATTATTTTGTGGTATTACAGATGACTGTTATGTTTCAACTTTTTTGTATTTACAGATTTTCTAATATTATGTGTTATAATCAGAAAGTAGTTAATAGTTCATAACTGAAGCAAATGGGTTTTTAATGTGTTTATCTTATTTTGCAGACTCTTATTGAACAAATAGAACAGCGATCTGAAAAAATACCTGAGTGAGTACCTAGAAGCTCTTCAGTTTCCAAATTAACTTTTCTTAAAGTACTATTTCACTCAATCTGTGATGTCCCAGCTATTCTCTGAGCAATTACCTTGCGTACGTGTTCTTGTAACACACAACTTATTTTGGGGAGCAAAGTTGTAGACCTGATATAGGGAGTGCAAGGCATCTCTCTCTCTTTGTTTGTTTATTTAATTATTTACTTATTTTTATTGAGGAACAGTGGTATACAACTTATTAGTTTTGGGTATATTACATAATGATTCAGTATGATCACCACTGTAAGTCTTGTTAGCGTCTATTATCATGCATAGTTATCAAATTTTTTTCTTGTGATAAAAACTTTTAAGATTTACTCTCAGCAACTTTCAAAAATGTGATATAGTATCATTAACTATAACCTCCATGCTGTACACTTCAGCAAGGCATCTCTTTTTCTCCATAGCAGGATTTTCTTTTCATTTGGGTAGATGTAAGATGTATACTCTTGGAAGATAAATCTTTCATTAAAAGATAAAGGTATAAACTCCAAAGTTAGAGAATTTAATTTACAAAATGAATACATACTCATATTTGGTTTAAAAAACAAAAAGATGCCCAGCTGGTGTGGCTCAGTTAGTTGGGTGTTGTCCCATGCACTGAGAGGTTGCTGGTTCAATTCCTGGTCAGGGCACATGCCCTGGTTGCAGGCTTGGTCCCCAGTAGGGGGTGTGCAGGAGGCAGCCCATTGATGTTTCTCATTGATGTTTCTATCGCTTTCTCCCTCCCTTCCTCTCTCTCTAAAACAATAAGAACATATTTAAAAAAAAACAAAAAGATAAAGACAGTTTATGTGTATCTTTATATACATATATACATAAATATTTCTAGTATTTAATGTGGGCAAATGAGAGGTGACCATATACCTTTAGAGGTTTGGCAATCTTTTCTGGCACATAAGATCAGATTTAGTGTACATATCTAAAATCAAAAGTTTATACTTCCCATCTCATTTGCTTTTCATCAGATACCAACAACTGCTAAACGACATTCACCAGTGTTACCTTGATCAGCGGGAGCTCCTTTTAGGCCCTAGTATTACTTGTACTGTAACAGAGTTAACCAGCCAGAATAACAGAGATCATTGTGCCTTGGTAAGTTTTTCTGTGTTTTGGTTTAATGTTAAACTAACTTCCTATGAAATATTTTGATACCCTAGAAGCTATATTTGGCTAAATAAGTTTTGGTTTCCATATCAACAAACTTAAAGAATTTTTCTTTCAGTTATGACAAATATAGTTTAGTAATTAGCATTCAGTTTGGCAAAATATTCTCATTTTGATACATTTTTTGAGGTATGAAGATTCACAAACAAGTATTGTTTCTTGAAAGATGAAGTTTCAGAGTTTGTGGATTTATTTTAGCTTTTGCTGCAAAAGTGCTTTCTTGTTTAGTGTGATTTTACTTGATACTGTAGAAAATACATAAAGATTATTTTTTTAAGTACCCCCTATTCAACTTGAAAAGTAGTTTATTTTCATTGTCAAAAATTTAGAAAATAATCCATAAAGAATAAAATAAAAATCACCCATATTTAATTATGCAGCAAACCATCAAAAGCATCCCTTTTCTGTGCTTTAGTAAGTTGTTTTATGAATATATATGCATAATCTCTGCAAATAAAATACCTGCTTTATGTCACAAACAATAGAATCATGTGTCTTTAACTGTAGGTGGTGTGTGTTTGTTTCCTGCAGATTCGCAGTGGCTGTGCCTTTATGGTCCATGTGTGCCAGGATGAGCACCAACTTTACAATGAATTTTTCACAAAACCAACATCAAAATTAGAGTAGGTAGTACACAGAGTTTAACTCTTGTTTTTAAGATTTAATGTGTTAATGATCATAACAGCTTATAATTATTAGAGTATTCATAAATTAACTGCAGAGTGATTTAACTTTTGTGGCTATGTGAACAGACTATTGTTGAGTGGGACAGTGTTTATTTACTTTAAGATAAATATATAACCAACATGCTTTCATATTGTTTATAATTATGTAGACAGTATGGTATGGTAGTATGAATCCTATATAGGGAACTAAATCTTGGGATCTAGATCCCTTTATTTCCACCAAATATAATAAATCCTCCCAGCTAAAAAATTCTGTAATTCTAACTGATGAAAGACACTTAAGAATACAAACACCATTTACTATCCTATTTTCTTTTATCCTCACCCGAGGATATTTTTCCATTTATCTTCAGGTAGAATGGGAGGGGTGGGGAGAGAGGGAGAGAGAGAGACACATTGATGGGAGAGGGACACATCGACTGGTTGCCTCCCTCACAACCCCAACCAGGGCCGGGGATGAACCGCAGCCAAGGTACATGCCCTTGACCAGAATCGATCCCATGACTCTTTGATCCGTGGGCTAACGCTCTAACCGCTGAGCCAAACTGGCCAGGACTATTTACTATCCTTTAAAAATGTTTTACTCAAAGTGTCTTTCAGATCCATTATTACTAAGTTTTGGTTTCTTCTTATTGGCAATTTGGACTGTTACAAAGATTCCAAGAGTACGACCCTTATAATGGCTAAGAGACAAGTGTATTTTACTGATTTGATTGGGTTGATCACTTTTGATGAAATAGTGCATAGAGCCAGAATATTATTGACAATATGACGAATATAGACAACATAATGTTTTTCTTTTCAAATGTTTTTATCAAAATACTTATATGTCCAGAGTACTTTGAGTTTTGTTTATCTAAATCTGTAAGTGTTCAAAATTTTTGAACGTATCCTTCCTGGGGAAAATCTTACCATTTTGATTCACAGTGATGTAGAATATAAAAGGATAATTAAGTCTACTGAAATACTTTTTATTGTTTTTGAAAGGACATATACAGAGTTATTACTGAAATAAGTAAAGGTTGTAATAATAAATCGATATTTGGCTGGGGGCAGCTAATTTGAATTGATTGCTGATTGTTTATTAATTCTTGGCTTTTAAAGCAACACTTCACAGAATTACTTTCAACCTTTATATAATGTTCCCCCTACTATTTTCCAGTAGATTTTTACAATGTTTATTGGCTGGAAGAAATCAAAGATGCCTTTTAAACTGGAAAGATTGCTACTAAACCATGTTTTATTTCTTTATTTTAGTGAACTTTTGGAGAAACTGTGTGTGTCATTGTATGATGTCTTCAGGCCATTGATCATTCATGTTATTCACTTAGAGACACTTTCGGAACTCTGTGGGATTCTTAAAAATGAGGTGCTTGAAGATCATGTACAGAATAATGGTAAGTGATAAGTAGAAGTGATAATTTCAAAGGTCTTTTAAATGATATCTGTGGTTCAGTGAATTTGAAAAAGGTTAGCTCTTTTTCTCCCTACCCCACCACCTATATAAATTTAATATTTTTGAAGCCTGGGTTGATGCCTGGTCCCTTTTCGAATCAAGATATACCTTATTCTGTGACTAAACATACAAATTAAATGGGGGAAGCATTTTAAAATCTTAAAATTAGTAATAAAACAAGTATAGTTACTTTTCTTTCTGGCATCTGAAATCCAGAGAGAATGAGGTAGGCATTTCTAGTACACTGTTACCGGAATACATAAAGTAATTGACTATATTGTATATTCTTGATTAAAAAACAGGAATTATTTCAGCATACATACATAGTAATGATTCATCTTTTTGAAATTACAAATAAAGAAAAGCAATTCTCTAAAATATATTTGCTTTATCCATGTGATACACTCCTCAATATTTGATTTGATTGTTATAGAAAATGATTTTTCTAATGATACTTAGGCACCTTTAAGAAGTACCCATCAGCCCTGGCCAGTATGGCTCAGCGGTTAGAGCGTCGGCCTGCGGTCTGGAGAGACCCGGGTTCGGTTCCCGCTAAGGGCACGTACTTCGGCTGCAGTTTGTCCCCGGCCCTGGTTGGTCGTGCGGGTGGCAGCCACTCGATGTGTCCCTTCACGTCGATGTTTCTCTCTCTCTCTCCCTCCCATTCTATCTGTACAAAAAATGGAAAAATATCCTCGGGTGAGGATAAAAAAAAAAGAAGTACCCATCAAGTAATCATTTTACTGGCAGAAATTATTTGGCTTTCCTAAGGAGGTGCTGTAGGTTTGTTACTCTTCCAGAATTTCTTATTCTACTACATTTAGTTCATTCAAAGATGTACATTTTCTCTTTTTTGAATTTTTGTAAGAGTTTATTTGAGCCAAACTGATGACATATGCTGGAAGCAAGATCAAATGCTCCAGAGAATAACAGTTTTACAGTTTCTTTTTTTTTATGCATTTGAAATTAAGGAGGGCATTTTCTCACATTTTAATGCTTCTGAATTAAAGATGATTTTAAAAATTAATATGAATATTTATGTGATTGGGTAGTGTCTTTAACTCCCCAGCAGCTGGGAAGCTGTTGTATTACTGGTGTGTCTTAACACTGATGACATCTTAGAAATGAAGAAATTCTATACAAAGTCATATCTTGTTTTATATTTTAATCATTTTTTATGTGGAAACATAAACAAGTCATTTAATATCTGTGGGACTCAATTTATTTGTAAAATGGGGAGGATAACCCAATTAATAAGCTGACTTAGCCGTCTCTCAGGATTGGTCAGAAGCTGTATGAGATAACTTAAAAAGCACAAAGCACTTTAAAAGTCAGATTTTATTATTCATACATATTAATAATAGAAATAATTTCACAGAGTTCCAGGAAGAAGATGTAAGGGCAAAGTTATTTTCCAATTGTAAATTTGAGGAAATTGAAGGATATTTATTAAGAGTTTCTAAGGTCGCCCTGGCCGGTTTGGCTCAGCAGTCAAAGTGTTGGCCTGCAGACCAGAGAGTCCCAGGTTTGGTTCCCTGGACGTGTACCTCGGTTGCAGTTTGTCCCCGACCCGTGGGTCGTGTGGGTAGCAACCACTCGATGTGTCTCTCTCACATAGATGTTTCTCTTTCTCTTTTCCTTCCCCTCTCCCTCCCGCTCTATCTGAAGATAAATGCAAAAACGTCTTTGGGTGAGGATACAAAAAAAAAAGCTTCTAGGGTCATTGAGTTCTATTGAAATAATATACATATAACCACAGCCCATGAAGCAAAAGTGGTTCATGCTGTTACTAGACAATTTAGTAATATATTTGCTTGTTTAAAAAAGTATTTTTCTAAATCTAAAGGATTGGATGATTGTACTTTTTTTTAAATCAGCTGAACAACTGGGGGCATTTGCAGCTGGAGTTAAGCAGATGTTGGAAGATGTACAAGAGCGGCTCGTCTACCGAACCCATATCTACATTCAGACAGACATTATTGGCTACAAGCCAGCTCCCGGAGATCTGGCATATCCTGACAAGCTAGTAATGATGGAGGTAGGTTTTCCTTACTGATCTCGTCCCTACCCCCTCACAACTTTCAGCTATTTTATACTAGTTAAAATAGGATTTTTCTTTTTAATTCTTACTCAAAATGTAAAATCAAGATAAACTTGCCACAAAATCATAGGTAATAAAATGTAAGGAAATTGAACAGAAATAATTTATTAGGTTTCTTTCAAGTTGTATTTGTGTGTGTGTGTGTGTGTGCGTGAATCTTCACCTGAGGATATTTTTTTCCATTGATTTTTAGAGAGAATGGAAGGGAAGGGCTTGGGGTGGGGGAGAGACATCCATGCAAGAGAGACACATTGATTGGTTGTCTCCTGCACGACCCCGACCAGGGCCGGAATTGAATCTGCAACCTAGGTACATACTCTTGACTAGAAATTGAATCCAAGGCACTTCTGTCCGAGGGCCGATGCTCTAACCACTGAGCAAATTGGCCAGGGTGGAACTGAGAACTTCTTAAATGGATTTTTAAATAGAAGCAAAAGTAGAATAACATAATGAACTCCTACGTATCATTACCCTAGCTTCAACATGGCCAGTCTTATTTCACTTAGATCTCTCTTACTTCCCTTCCCCACTATTAGTTATTTTAGAGTAAATTTTAAATATCATTTCATTAGTAAATACTTTAGTGGGGGCACTTTTTTATTTTTAACACAAACATAATACAATGATCACACCTAAAAACATTATTTATACTTCCTTAATATCATTAAATATTCAGTTGGATCTAGAATTTATTCAGATTCACCAGTTGTTAATTTCACATATACTTAATTCTTCGTGTGTGTTTTATTGCTCAACTATTAGAAAATAAGATATAGACATCATGATACTTCACTCCTGAGTACTTCAGTTTCTATTTTCCTAAGAATGAAAACATTCTCCACATAATCACAATGTAGTTTTTATATCTAAGAAAATTAACATTAATTCAACAATATTATTTATGTACTGTCCATATTTAGATTTCTCCAGTTGTCCTTCTAACTGGATCAAAAAATAAAAAAAGGTGGGATTCAGTCAAGGTTACTGTGTTGCATTTGTTTTTTTGTTGTAGTTTTTTAATCCTCACCCAAGGATATTTTCCCATTTATTTTCAGACAGAGTGGGAGAGAGGGAGGGAGGGAGGAAGGGAGGAGACAGAGAGATGGGGGGAGAGAGAGAGAGAAACATCGATGATGTGAAAGAGACACATATTGACTGGTTGCCTCCTACACGACCTTGCAACCGGGTTTTATGTCTCTTTAAATCAAACCCAGACTCTTTCCCCAGTCTTTTTTTTCCCTGTGAAATTGACTTTTTTGAAGAGATGAAGCCAGTTTTATTGTGGAATGTATCACATTCTGGATTTGTCTGTTTATCTTATGTTTAGAGTCAGGTTAACACTTTTGTTTTTTGGTAAGAATACTACATAGTTGATGTTGTGTACTTCTGATTTTATTACAGCAAAGGCATGTAATGTCAGGTTGTTCCACTATTGGTTAAGGTAGTGATTGCTAACTCCATTATAAAAGTACTTTCTTTTCTAATTACTAAAAACAATGGGCTCATACTATGAGATTATGTGAGTTCCCCAGCATCTTTCACCCAATGATTTTCACAGCTATTAATGATTATTGCCTGAACCAGTTATTATGTTGAGGGTAGTAAACGATGATTTTCATGTCTGCCATTTCTTGTACATTTATTAGTTGGCCTTCTGTTGTAAAGAATTTCTCTTCTTCCCTCCCTTTCTTACCCTTGTCTCTGTACAGTAGTGGATTTAGAAACAAAACATATTTATTGATTTTTTTTTTTCCAAGAGAGAGGGAGGGAGAGAAAGAGAGAGAGAAACATTGATGTGAGAGAGAAACATCAGTCGACTGCCTCCTGCATATCCCCTATTGGGGATTGAGCCCACAGCCCGGGCATGTGCCTTGACCGGGAATCGCACTAGAACCTCTCAGTCCATGGGACAGTGCTCAGTCCTCTGAGTCACACTGGTCAGGCTACAGTAGTGGATTTTTAAAAAGTAATTATATTATAATTCATTGCCATCATTATTCTTTTAGATGCTTAAAATTGTCCCAGATTTGTTGAGCTCCTTGTTTTTTTTTAATTAATTAATTTTTGTTACAGATGTTTCTCCCTCCCCCCCCCAGACACCCTCCTCCTGATCCCGTCCCCCACCCCCCCAACATTGTTGTCTGTGTCCTTTGGTTATGCATATATTCATATAAGTTCTTTGATTTATCTCATCCCTCCTCCCCCGCCCCTGTCCTCTGAGGTTTGTCAGTCTGAACCGTGTTCCTTTCATTGTCATCATCATTCTTTTAGGCGGTGGTTCTCAACCTTCCTAATGCCGTGACCCTTTAATACAGTTCCTCATGTTGTGGTGACCCCCAACCATAACATTATTTTTGTTGCTACTACATAACTGTAATTTTGCTACTCTTATGTCTTAGGCAACCCCTGTGAAAGGGTCATTCAACCCCCAAAGGGGTTGCGACTCACAGGTTGAGAACCATTGTTTTAGAGGTTTAAAATTGTCCCAAATTTGATGAGCGGAAGCTTCTTTTTAAAAAAAAAATTTTTTCTTTATTGATTTTAAAGAGAGAGGAGGGGAGAAGTAGGGAGAGATAGAAACATTGATGAGAGAGAACATCAACTGGCTGCCTCCTGTGTGCCCCTCACCGGGGATTTGGCCCACAACCTGGGCATTTGCCCTGACCGGGAATGGAATCTGTGACCTCTTGGTGTATGGGTTGACGCTCAACCCATGAGCCATACTGACCAGGCAGTGGAAGCTCCTTTAGATTGACGTCTTTGTCCTTTTGATATGACCCTGTAATCTTTGAGTACCTCTTTTTTTTCTTTTAATTTTTTTTTTTTATCCTCACCCGAGGATATTTTTCCATTTTTTGTACAGATAGAGTGGGAGGGAGAGAGAGGAAGGGAGAGAGAGAGAGAAACATCGATGTGAAGAGACACATCGAGTGGCTGCCACCCGCACGACCAACCAGGGCCGGGGACAAACTGCAACCGAAGCACATGCCCTTAGCGGGAACCGAACCCGGGTCTCTCCGGACCGCAGGCCGACGCTCTAACCGCTGAGCCAAACTGGCCAGGGCCCTCTTTTTTTTCTTAAGCAGCTTTATAGAGGTATAGTTTACAAACTGTACAGTTCACTCATTTAGAGTTTATAATTCAATGATTTTTAATATGTTCATAGATATGTGCAACCATAACCATTTTATACCATTTTCATCATCTCAGAAAGAAACCCTGTATTCTTTAGCTATCATGCTCCTATACCAGCTCTAGGCAAACACTAATTTCTGTCTCTGTAGATTGCCCTGTTCTGGACATTTCATGTGAATGGAATCATATAATGTATGGTCTTTTGTGATGTTTTTCAGTTAGCATGATATTTTCATGTTTCATCCATGTTGTAGCATATATTAGTACTTTCCTACTTTTTTAAGGCTAGGTAATATTCCGTTTTATAGATATGTTACATTTTGTTTAACAGTTTGTCCATTGATGGACATTTGGGTTGCTTCCGCCTGTTGGCTGTTATAAATAATACTGCTAAAAACATTCATGTATACATTTTTGTGTGGACATCTATTTTTATTTTTCTTGTGTATATATGTAGGAGTGGAGTTGCTGGGTCATATAGTAACTTTGTGTTTTATGATTTACCAAGTTGTTTTCCAAAGTGCTGTACCACTTTACATTCCCATCAGCAATGTTTGAGGGTTCTGATTTCTCCACGTACTTGCCAACTCTTGTTAGTATTTAACTTTTTGATTCTAGCCATTTTAGTGGGTATGAAGTGATATCTCACTGTGGTTTTGATTTGCATGTTGTCTCATTATCCTTTGTTGATATTGTCCCCACATCATATGTTGTCCCAGCATTCTCTCCAGTTGTCCCAGCAGCATTTTTTGAAATGGCTGTTTTCCTATTGGCTAGTCTTGCAACTTTGTTGAAAGTCATGGATTCTAGATTTATGGGTTTATTTCTGGACTCTCAATTCTGTTCCATTGATCTTCATGTTTTTTGTGTCAGTATCAGGAAGTGTGAGTTCTCTTATTTTGTTCTTTCTCAAGATTGTTTTGGCTGTTCTTGGTCCCTTGTAGTTCCATATGAATTTTAGAATCAGCTTGTCAACTTTACAAAGAAGTTAGCTGGGGTTTGTTAGGGATTGTATTGTATCTTTAGATCAATTTGGGGAGTAAATTAAGCCTTCCAATTCAGAAACATGGGCTATTTCTCAGTTATTTAATTTCTTTCAATAGTATTTTGTAGTATTCAGAGTATAAATTTTATACTTCTTTTGTTAAATTTCTTCTTAAGTATTTATTTAAAATATGTTTTCATTGATTTTTTTTTTTTTTTAAGAGAGAGATAGAAACATCGATCAGCTGCCTCCTACATGCTCCCCACTGGGAATCAAACCTGCAACCTGGGCATGTGCCCTCATGGGGAATTGAACCAGAACCTCTCAGTTCATGCCATGATGCTCAATCCACTGAGCCACACCAGCTGGGCCATTCTTAAGTATTTTATTCTTTTTGATGCTATTGTAAATGAAATTCTTTTTTTTTTTCTTTCTTTTCTTTATTTTTGTTACAGACGTTTCTCCTTTTACCCCCATTGACACCCTCCTCCCCACCCCGTCCCCAGCTTTGTTGTCCATGTCCATTGGTCATGCATACATGCATATAAGTTCTGTGGTTTATCTCCCCCACCCCCCCTTCTGGGGATTATTAGTCTGTACCCTACTTCCACGTTTCTGGGACTACCTTGTTCTTCAGACTGTTATGTTCATTACATTCCACAAATAAGTGAGATCATGTACTTGTCTTTCTCTGTTTGGCTTGTTTTACTTAGGATAATATTTTCCAGGTCCCTCCATGTTGTCTCAAAGGATAAGAGCTCTTTCTTTCTTACAGCTGCATAGTATTCCATTGTGTATATGTACCACTGCTTTTTTA